TTCTGAACTCTGCATACCTCAACTACAGAAAATATATGGTATTCCAGACCACTTAGGGAGATGCAATCAGTGTTAGCATGGGTCGAGACCTGTTCCCATATAAACTTCACAGTCACAAAACGTAAGCGAGTAAAGATGTCTGAGATGTGATTACAATAGATGGTCAATGTTTAAATGAAGAAAAAATTGTTCCAGCAAAATACACATTGCCGTGGATTCTCTCAAAACATTCCCCCTTACCTCAAGCATACTCGGTCCATCCTTCTCGCCACTTTTGGAAGCAGCTCTGGAAATCCTCTTTTGGGAACGTCTTTACAAAGTGTGATTAAAAAACATGGTGAGTGCTGCTGCCGACGGCCATCCAAAGAAAGTCAGCCTCGTACAAACTCTATGGTGTGTGTTCATCCACCTTATTCACCGGACTGGCACCATAGGCCGTGAAAAGAAAATACTTTGAATGGATTCAGGACACTGAGGAAGCCATGACAGCACAACTCAAGACACTGTATGTCCCTACGGAACCTACTCAGCTTTGGCACCCTCACAGGCATTCTGGGGCAGGACACTTAATGCAGCCAGTTCAAAGAATCTCTGTCTTCCGTGGATGGCCCAAGCCCTGGGGATTGGAATAAGACTGCTTCTCTCATAGGCAAAATTTGGTGAAGGGCGTGAATCTGATAGCCATCTCCCGTCTTCTGCAGGTCTCTGAAGGCTGTAACTCAGTCTGTCCAGTCTGTATCACTGTGCACTGGCCTCTTTATGTCCCTACCGGCACCTTCATTTGCTAGTTGCAGGCAACTGGGCCATGGCTCCTAGGACTTCTCTAAGCTCATCTGAACCCTGTTCAAGGGGAGGCCTGGGAGTTCTTGGAACCTCTTCCTGCAACACCAGGATGCAGGGCCTCTGGGGGTCTGAACTCAAACTCGTCCACCTGAGCATTTCTCAATTTGTCACTTTTCATCTCTAGCCTAATGCTGGGTACTGGCTCCTCTAAGAGGCGTTCAGTGTCCCTGTACAACCACTTAGGAAGGGAGGCAGAAGTTCGCTAGGCTCTTAGCTTCCTCTGCCAGACCATCTGAGATTTCTCTTGCAGGTTCACTCTAGCATCATAGATTTGGTTATGCAGGTCCCTTTCTTGGGAATTCATGTGAATTACACATTCTTTCAAAATTTAATTTTTTGATGGATGCATAATATTTATACATACGTATGAGGTACAACGTGATGTTTGATTCATGCGTAGTTACTCATTTACTGCCTTCTTTTTCCCAGTTCTCTTCTTTCCTCCAACCAGCAGGATTTTCCTCTGTATGGAGGACCACCTGGACAACTCTCCTTGAAAGGAGAGCAATTATCTGCACTTTGGCTAAGCCTGGCTCTATTTCCATGTATTGATATGTACACAGCTGGCTAGGACTTTCCTTTATGCCCCCAGTGGGGTTTATGCAATGAGATTTGGTCTAGCTGAGGTGCTGATGTGTAATCTGTGAAACAAGGTGACAGGTCAGTGTTACCCCATCCTGTAGCTCCCAGGAAGCATGTGTGAGCCAGTTGCAAGGAAGAGCCATGGTCCACGCTGTTGGCTGGGATTTGGCCTCAAGAAAGAGGCTGAGAAAAAGGCTGTGATGTCTCAGGGCATTAAAAAGTGACACATCAGACCTGAAGCACTGACCCCAAAACATTAGCGACTGCCTCAAATTGTTACGTAGATTACTCCTTCTGCATATCTCTATCTCTGCATACTGCAGAGGTGATTTCAGGCCTCCTACCTAGCTCAGCTATCGGCACTCATGTACTTCCTGCCACAACTGTAGTCACTCATCCCTGAGCCACTCTTCTCTTGACTAATTAATAAAACGTGGGTTCGGTCCTGGGTTGTGACCTTTATTCCAGTTATCCATCATTCTAGCTGGGCTTAGGACCCCCTTGGCTCCCCACAACTGCAATATGCCTTAGTGTCTTTATTCTCACCATGTATTGCACTGGAAGTGGTAGATTGCCATAAACTCCCTAGAATTCCAATAACTTCCCCATGGGATTACAAATATAAACTTCCTGGACCAAAATGAGGACTGGGAAGGGCTCTCTTTACTCTGATCTTAGGGAAGCTGTAAGTAGGAAAATGGCTCATACATCACTCTGAAATCTTTCCAGCTCCAGTATTTATAGTACAGACTTTGACTATATTATAGTATGAATTTTCTGTCCAGACCTTTCGATCTTGATGTTCAAAGCTGAGCTTTTAGAGCCAAAACAATCTTTTGTCTGTCAAAAGTACTGTTTCCAAATCAAAATACCTTAGCTTTTAGTGTGATCACTTCTGTTATGAATTTCAGAACTCACGGGTTGGAATTTAACACTTGTTGTTGGTGCATCAGCAAGAGTACTGGGCACAAAGAGTCTTGGGAAAAGCGTGCCTGGTCGGAGCCTCCACCGGCGTCTCGGTAAATTATCAACAACCCTGCTGGCACCTAGGCTTCTGGCTCTACCCCTGTGCTCACTTCCTCAAGCTGGGATCTTGTCTAACAAGCTGCTCTCAGCTCCATTTCTCTGTTTTCGCTTAGCCTTTACTGTTTTGAAGATCTTTTGTTGTAAATTGACAACTTGTAGTCATATATATTTATAGAATACCAGAGCAGTTATGATTTATGAGTACAGTATGGAATAATGAAATCATGCTAATCTGTCCATCACTAAATTACTTAACATTTTGGTGGTGAGAACATTTGTGATTTACTCCATTAGTGATTGTGTAATGTATAATGCACAATTATTAACTGTAGTAACCAGACTATACTCTAGGGCTCAAAAAATAAAAAGAGACCAACAACTTATTTCTCCTCAATGAGGTTTTTTTTTTTTTTTTTTTTTTTCCCATTTTGAGACAGGGTTTCACTCTGCAGTTCAGGTGGGCCTTGAACTCACAGTGATCCTCCTGCCTCAGCCTCCAAAGTTTTGGGATTACAGGAGTGGGCCACCACACCCGGCTCGCTGGGGTTGTACACTTTTACAATCACCTCTCCATTTCCTCTATTCTTCAGCTTCTGGTAACCAGCATTATCCTCTGCTTCTATGAGTTCAATTATTTTAGATTCCACAGGTAAGTGAGAACATGCAGTGTGTGTCTTTCCGTGCCTGGCTTATTTTTCTCAGCATAGTATTTTCCAGTTCCATCCACATTGTTGTGAATGATAGAATTTCCTTCTCAAAGGCTGCACAGTATTACATTGTGTATATGTACTGCATTTTCTTTATCCCTTGATGTGTATTTAAGGTGATTCCAGAACTTGGCTGCTGTGAATCATTCTGCAATAAACATGGATGTGCAACATACTGGTGGTTTCAAATCTGTTGGTGAAATGCCCCAAAGTAGAATTGTTGAATTACATGGTGATTTTATTTTTCATTTTGGGGGGGACTTTTCATAGAGTTTTCCATAATACCAACAGTGTACAGTGTTTCCCTTTTCTCCACATCTAGTACTGTCTTATGAACTGGGGTTTCGCCTAGCTTTCCTCACCTTTAATCTTCCCAGGGGCTAGAATCTCAGCATTTTCCCTCATTAGGTGGGCCACCATTTTGGTCTCAGAGATGTCTGTTTTCCAAGCTTTTGCCTCCTCAGTGGGAACCTTCTGATATTATTCTCCCCTTGCCTCTAATTACAGCCTTCACATTATTGCCCTAAGTCACCCAGCCCATCTGCCTAAGGAGAGCAGCGTTCCTGTACGAGCAACGGGGGTACGCAGTAGAGGGGTAAGGGCAGCAGGCACTCTGAGAGGGGGGTGCCAAGTTTGTGGCAAGAATGGCCGCACAGTGAGAAGGTGCGTTGCCAAGAATAAAGCATCATCATATTGCCCCGTTCAGCCAAGACTAGCTTCAAAGATCTAGCCTAGAGTTCTTTAGGGATAATGGCTTTGATGTATTGCTGTAGTAGTTAATGGCTCTTGTTCAGATCAAATCCTTCCTGGAGCAGGGCTCTAAGTCTCATTCTACCCATAAAGCCAAATGGGATGGAAGGAAGTTAATTTAGCTTACAACATCACCTTCACAGTGTATCATAGATAAACCTCATCAACTTGAACTTGCAAGCCAGGATTATAAACAGGCAAAGAAATAACTTTCTAAGGGTAAGCGTTAATACAAAGAAGAAGCAATGTGCATAACCCCCCAAAAGTTCAGAAAATGAACATACTGAATTCAAAGTATTTTATCTTAAATAATTAAAATGGTAAAATTTGTGCACTAAATAAAGAGAAAGAAATAAGATAATACTGCTGATTTTTTTTGGTGTCAGGAATTGAACTCAGGACCTTGCACTTGCCAGGCAGGCACTTAAGGATACTACTAAAAGTATCTAGAAGATTTAAAAAGAGAACTAAATGAGAATCCTAGAAAAGAAAACATAACTATTGAAATGAAAAATTAGTGTGTGGGATATAAAGTTAGACATAGACAATGAGTTAATTAGGAGATAGATCTAAAGCAGTTATGTAGAATATAGTACAAAGAATGAAAAGATGAAAGATAGGTAAAAATATATAGGAGATAAGATGTGTAGTCATACACACATTTAGAAGATGTTTCCATTCTTAGGTATTTTATTCAAAAAGAATGAAAACATATGTCACAAAAAACAGTATATAAGACTATTTACAGCACTCAAAGCCAGGAAACAAATCTTTTGGAGAAAAACTAAGCAAGTTTTGGCATATTCATACAATGGAATTGCACTCAGCAACAAAAAGAAATGAACTATTAATATTCACAACCAAAAAGATAAATATCAAAACTGTTACCCTGAGAGAAAGAAGTGAGACATAAAGAAATTGATACTATCTGACCCCGTTTGTGTGACGTATCATTAGAGGCCAGATTAATCTAGAACAGCTGCCTCTGGAGGGGGCATGAGGAGCTTTTTGGGATGGGAGTAATATTCTGTATCTTGCTTTGGGTTTGGCTAACATGGACCTATACCATTGTCAAAACTCATGAACTGAACATTTGCAATATGTAAATTTTATCTCAGATAAGTTATACCCCTCCCCTCAAAATTAAAAAGTAAAGAAGAGAAAGCAACATGGAATATGTACAATCCCTAAAAATGGATGCAAAAAGACAATAACTTATTAGAGAAATATATAGGAGATAAGATGTGTAGTCATACATACATTTAGAAGATGTTTCCATTCTTAGGTAAAAATGTAAAAAATGTTCCCATTCTTAGGTAAAAATGTAAAAATTTAAGCAGGAATTTCAAGGAAAAGAAAACTTGTAAAGCCAATAAATATGTGAAAATTTCATGATCTTACTAGCAATCACAGAAATACAAATCAGATCAACACCATTTTGGGACCTATTGGATGTAAACAAAGTGCAAGTCTGGAACAATTCTAAAACGCTGACAAGGTTGTGAGGAGCCGGCATTTTCCGACACCGCAAGTCAGAGCTTAGACTGATGCAATCATTTGGAGAATAATTAAGAAATACTTAGCAACATCACTCATGGGTCCCAGGATCCTTTTAGACTTTTAAAACCTGAGCTCTTGTTTGCAGATTCTAGCAGCGGAGCGCAGCTACTCATACACTCTTGAGCGAGGGGAGGGTCCTCCTCTATTCGGGGTGGGTCATCCTTTTAGCGCACAGCTTCCGGAGGGACGCACATGGGCGCATGGAGCATGCAGGGAAGGGGGCACCCACCTAGCCAGCCAGAGCAGCCTGATCAATCCTGGTGATCAATGGGCGACAGATGTCGCAGCTAGATCGTCCTCACATCCTAAATTTTTAAAACTTACAATACCGAAGAACTTTTGTTTGCATGGGTTGTAGATACTGGTATTTTCTATATAAGGAAATAAAAATGAGAAATTAAAAAATACATGTATTTTCATTTAAGAAGCAGTAATAACCATATTAACATGAATAACATTATTATGAAATAACTGTATTTTCCAAAATAAAAGTTTTGGAAACAGTGAGAAGAGTGGCAGTATTTTACATTTCCATAAATGTTTGGATTAATAGAAAATAGGTGGACTTGGCTTCTGCATTGTCTATCATGGTACATTGTTTGATTGAAGTATATGAAGAAAATATAGAATCCCACAGACATGAAACTTGAAAGGGAAGGTTTTTTTTTTGTTGTTTTTGTTTTTGTATTTTGTCTTTTAGAGACAGTGTTTCACTATGTAGTTCAGGCTGGCCCTGAACTTACTTTTGTAGCCCAGGCTGGACTCAAACCTGCAGCAACCCCCCTGCCTCAGCCTCCTGAGTGCTGGGATTACAAGCGTTCACCATCACACCTGGCCAAGAAGGAGTATTTTAATAGCCTTTACAGGTAATTGTGGATGTTCTTTGATACTGTACTCAAAACTACCAAGTGGTAGTTTCTTAAAGATTAGTTTGAAGCCATATCAATGAACTTTTCACATTCTGTTAAATAAAATCCATGGTTTATCTTGTACATTTAATGGGGTCTTACTCATGAATAATTTTGTAACATTTGCATTGTTATTCAAAAAATATTGATTTGCTAAGGTAAACAGGTTTTCAAAATGTTGATATATTTATATATACAATATTTAAATGTCCACCGACCATCTCACTGGAAAAATCATGAAGTATTGCGAAGCTGTAAATTCTCAGGATTAGATTCAAGTTTTCAAAAAATTCTAATTTTTTCCTGAAAGATCAAATTTTATTATCAACAAAAATGATGTCAGTTTTCTTTGGAATAGCAGCCTCATATCATGCACTTTTGGGAAAACCTCTACCAAATATCCCAAGAGTTTAATAATTACAGTTTATATCATCCTTAAGTAAAAATGATGTACCATGAAAAACGGCAGTTCATCTTATAAATCAGAACATCACACAAGGCTTTTTCTTGGGAAAGCCATTGTGCTTTGCAAGTAACAAAAGCATTCTGGCTCACTCCCTCTTTACCATATAGAATATTTCAGAGATGTTCATATTATAGTTGAAGTTTAACACAATCAGAAATCTTAAGCTGCCTGTTCACAGTGGTGAATACGGTGATTGCTTAGCAGGGGTTAGGGCTGCTGCCTTTAGTCACACTAAGGCACTGGCAGCTTTGCCTTTTGTACCATCAGTGCAAAAGTCATACAGTAAAACAGATAAATAGCACCTTATTATTAATATAGATATTTTTGACCTCATGTATCAGGAGCTGATCAGGCTCCCAATTTTAGAGATGAGCTTATGGAAAAGGGTTTAATAAAGAAAAATGTAATATGGTTTGTGGGGAGTCCAGGAAGGGCAGAACTGTCTTGGAGCTAAACAAGGATTTCTCTGGATTGCCATTGGCTCCTTTACAATGTAGGCAGGTGCAGGAAGTGGAGGGCACATCTGAGGCAAAAGCCTGCAAAAATGAGCAAGGCCTTGAGAAGTTAGAACAAAGGCATACATCTGTTAATTAAGAGAGTTATTTGATTTCTAAGGTTGACAGTTTATTGCCTCTAAATCCTTTGAGTGTGATTCAGTAGCACACAGATACTGCATTTCCTTGTCTTCAGAGGCTGTAAATATGAACTTTCCGGTATATCCAGGGAACACTGTGTTCAGCAACTTAGCCTATACACAGCCTGCTCCCCAACACTCATGGATTGCCTGAAATAGTCTAGGCCCCTTAGGGACCTGTGGGTCACATTTTAGGAATCGTTAGCAAACAAAAATATTTGCTGTAGCATTGTATTTTGTATTTTCATACAGAGCTTGTATTTTCGTAATGACATTTTTGTCACTGCAAAGATCAGAAGCTACTGTCTTCCAGAGAGTGGATAAAAAATTGAATGGTATGCAGGGGAACGCTATAAATCACTGAAAATCAACTAGAGATAAACGTATCAAGATGTCTTAGAAACATGGAATGTAAAAAAGAGATTCATACAATACAAAATTCATGTGAAATTTAAATGTAAAAATACTAAATTTTAGAGCTATCTATATGGGTAGTGAGCATGTACTACCCATATGCATTGGAATGCACTGGAATGATAATTATCAACTTCAGAACGGTAGTTCCTGGTGTTAGGTAGGGAAAGAAGTACATTTGTGGAGGCTTCTGATCCACTTGTAAATGCTTTATGGGATAAGCTGTGGGGTGGTTGTAAGGGGTTCAGTATATTATTTTCCTATACATTATGACTTTTTATATTCTAAAGAACTTTACAAAAAATGCCATTGATCTCTAGTCAGATTCTTTAAAATGCTCATGAAATTAAGTAGTCAAATAGGTCATCTATTAGACATTGAAACTTTAGCACACAAATAAAAAGACAGACTACCTTCACAGTAACGATGTGATTTCCCTTAACAAGAACAGCAAAGTTTGCCCTATGGGTCTCTTTGTTTTCTTTATGTATAGTGACTACCCAAACTGATTGTTTAAAATGACCCTCTATGCCATCCATTGACAGTTATAGAAATCATCTCAGCATCCCTTCTGTGGCAGGCATGGTCCTTCTGTGTCCTGCCCCAAGAGTGTGCAGACAACTGTAGAGTCTGTTTTCAGCACTCTCAGCCGACAGAGCTCTGGGTATACCTGCTGTTGTAGTGCCATCTTCAGGGTCTCCTCATCCTCATGGACTTTGAAGCCGGAGTGTACGTTATTTGCTTTGCTCCTGTCCGTGTAACTCCAGTAGCCTCTCCACTTCCACTTCTCTGGAGCCTGTGTCTTCCCAGTGGTGGGAAATTTAAAACAAATTGGCTGGGCTCTGGCTTAGTTAGTGATGGCAGGAACCAAAATAATTTCCATCTGCAGGTACAATGTCATATTTTATTTTAAACACACAGCAAAGACAAAGTCTTCACAATCCTTGCTGTTTTTGGAAGCAGCTAGCCTGAATATGGAAATATATACCTAAAGAATGAGGAATCCTGATACCGCTTGGATGAGCTTTGTGAAAGGTGCTTGAAAGCTGAACACTCTCTTCTTCATCTCCCTACTGGAAAACATGTTCTTGTCTTAATTATGTGCTGTTTGCCTGGGCCACATGGTTTTGAGCCCCCAAATTACTTTTATTTGTTCCATGTACTAGTGTCATGGTACCTTTTTTTTTTTAATTATTATTTAGGTATATATTGTTAAAAAAAATCTGTAACAATCTATCTATTTGACAATCTGTTTAAGAAAACTTCTCTTTACTCATTTTGTTTCCTGAAGCACTCTTTTGCTCCCCTCCCTCCTTCATTCAAACCAGGCAGAGGACTTCCACTGCCCCAGAGAAGGGCTGCTGCAGGAAAGAGGAGAGAAATAACAGTAAATTGTGAGCATCTGAATTTTGAAACTTACAGCAAAGATGCTGCGCAGTGTGTTCAAAGTATGTGGTGAATGTTTAAATCAAAATTTATTACCGTAAAAGACACATTGCCATTAATGCCTCCTTAAAATAGTCTCTGTCTCTTCAAACACACTTATTTCATCATTCTTGGCACTTTCTAAAGCAGTTCTGGAAGTCCTCTTTTGTGAGTGTCTTTATGAGATGTGATCAAAATATCTAGAGCATTGCTGCTGAATGTTATCCAGCAAGGAAAGGCAAGCTCATAAAAACACCGCGATGTGTCCTCACCAGTCTTATTGACCTGATCCAGTCTGTTCACCAATCTGATTCACCTGCAACGTCTGACTCTTCCTCAGAGTCAAAATGACCACAAAAGGTAAATGTTTTGAATCATTCAGGACATCGAAGCCACTGCACCAACCCTGAAGACACTCATGAAAGAAGACTTCCAGACCTGCTGCAGAAAGTGGCAAGAATGGTGGGATGATTGTGTTCACAGTGAGAGGGAGGATTTTGAGGGTGATTAATGGCAATATGTTTGCTACTTTAATAAATTCAAACATTTATCATACTTTTTGATCAAACCTCATACTTCAATAAAATAGAATTTTAAATCTCAAAAGTCAGGATTTTGAAGGTAAAGAAATCCATTAGCCTCAGTGAATGACAATATGAACTCAGTTGAATAAATAATACCTTTGGAAGGATATTTGTTGAGAAGGGCGAGTAGGAGAAGCAGGAGAATACTTTGAATCAATTGAGATTATTCGGAATAGGATTGCTTTTTTTGCTGCCACATGAAATGGAATCTAGAGCTCAAGATGCAAATTAAATTCAAACACACAAAAAATAAGAATCGTGTTATTTGTATATTTGGATTTGCAAGCTAGAGTTTGTAGCATTCCATGCCCTTACAAAACATGCTGCTGCTCTTATGAGGAAGGTATGAGGCTGCTGTTTGTATTTTACAGCAGTCTCTTTGTGCAGCTCTAGATAACAAGAAATTCTCTGGAGAGACTTTCTTCCTCTAGGCAATTGATTTATTTTTAATCTGAGGAAATGGTGACTCATGACTGATTGAATGTCTTCTTTAGTGGCATGAAAGCATGGTGTCTGAACCTTACTTTTTCTAGCATGTAGAACTCTGTGGGTTGCATTTTGCCTATTTATCAGTCTGGTTGAACTGGTTTTCTTTTGAGACAGGGTCTCACTATGCAGTCCAGGCTGGCCTTGAATTCACTACATAGCCCAGGTTGACCTCAAACTTGCAATGATCCTCCTGCCTCAGCCTCCCGCATGCTGGGATTACAGGCGTGCACCACCATGCCTGGCCTAAGGTGCAGGAGGCTTGTAGGGAGTGCCACAGATCAACCTGTGGAAGAGGGTAGAGAGCAACCAGGACTGGGGAGGGGGAGAAGGAGCTTCAGCGGCCCCAAGGACAGTCTCGCGGACCACATGGGGAGTTCTGCACAGAATGCTCCTTTAGAGCTGTCCGGGTTTGGGCCTGAATGGTCATGAGCTCATACACTGCCATCAACTATTCACTAGAGGTCAGCTGGCCCTGGAGGAGGCACGGCTGTGCAGCTGAAGCAACCCTCGAAGGAAGGTCACTCAGGCTGTCCATCAGTAATGAAACAGAAGAGAGAAACTCCCAACCTGCTCGATGTCCGGATGAGTTCGTGTTCTCTGAAATCAAAGAATGAGTTTGAGGAACAATGGAGATTAAGAGCAGAACGTATTTATTGGGGTGGGGGGACAGAAAGCTTCTGCCTGAGAGAGGGACAGAAGGGGTCCTGAGGGGGTTGGCAAGGACCCTGCTTTTTCTAAAGAGTTTTGTAGAGCAAAACCATGACATGAGGCGGGTCCAAGGTGGGGAAAAATGGGAAATCACAAGGTGAGCCCGAGATGGAACAAAAGTCTGGTCAACCAATAGGATTACTAGAATAGTTGCTCAGGTAATATTGATTAAATGGGTATCAAATGGGCAAGCGAGTCTTGTAGCAAGTGAGCATGAAACAGGACAGGGGCTTTTTCCTGGAATGGGTGGGTCTGTGGCTCCTTCTGGCGTTCTCAAGGTGATCGGTACCTATTTGGAATATCAATCATTGTTGTTTATTCTTAGGAGAAGTTCCTAGGTGCATTCCTTTCATCTTTTGTTTTGAGGTCTGGCCCTCAGCAGGGGAGGTGTCCTGTCTTCACCACGATTGCAATGTACCCTGTCTTCCACACTGGCTCCTTTGAGGGCCCGGCCCTAGCTGACTGCCTACAATATTTCTACCTAACTTAGCTGCCTATAACTCTTCTCTCTCTGTGTCTCTCTTTCTAATAAAGACACCAGTCTCATCCATGGGGATGGAGCCCTCATGACCTAATCACCCCTAAAAGCCTCCAAAATTCCACATTTGGTATTAGGTTTTAATATATGTACTTTTGGGGGGAGAAGGGACATTCAAATCATAGCATTTATTTTCTGGGTTTCTTAAAGGCACAGATGATTTTTTTAGTCAAATTTTTATTTTTGAATTTCAGTGCCTGAAGATAGTCTGGCCTATGTTCAGTAGGTATTTATTAAATGAACGCCCAATCAGACTATTGAAAGGGATAGTTGGGGAAGAGGGAGCAGAAACCTACTGGGCGTAGGAGAGAAAAGTTGTGCAAAAGCTTTGAAATGATGGAAAGGCAGAATTTTCTAAAAACCAAAGTGCTGAGTAACCTAATGGGAACCATATTTGAACATTTCAGTTGAATGTGTTTTGGGTTCTGAATGATGATGAATAATTTTTATTGCGGTTATTAATGTTTTTTATGTTTTCTGAACTTTCTACAATAAATATCATTTTCATAAATGGAAAAAAATATTTTAAAAAGATGTAAGTTGATTGCAAAATAGTGGGCTCTCTGTCCGTAGAAGCACCTGAGCAGCTGGGAAGGATACCTACCAACGATGACAAGGGACTTCCCCGTGGGGAGGGGAGGTTGGACGAAGCAAGCTGTGAGATTCTTCCAACTCTGGTAGCCTGAGGTACTGTTTGCTAAGTGATAAATGCGAGTCCCCTCTTAGAAGAACGTGGCCTAGTTTACCTGACTGCTTCACATTCTGCCTGGAACCGTGCTGTGGCAGTACTGGCTGTGGGAGAATTTGATTTGTATTCACCCGAGGCTGACACCAGGGCAGGATCTCAGGAAATGGAAATCTTTTTTTTTTAATTTTAATTTTGTAGTACATAATGATTACAGTCCTCAGGGCGCAGCTGGTACATGTACCTAGCATACCTTAATTCTCTCTCATCCCCTTCCACTCCCCTCTTTCCCTATCTTTGTATCTCTCTATTTCCTGTTATCTATCTTTTATTTTGGTTTCTATTTATATTTTGGGTTTCTTGTATAAGAGAAGCTATGCCATATTTAAGCTTGTGTGTTTGATTTATTGCATTTAGTATTATAGTCATAAGGTGCATCCGTTTTCCTGCAAATTACTCAAGTTTCTCCTTGATAAACATAGTGCTCCAATGTGTATAAATATAACTTCTTTTTTTGGTACTGGGAATCTAATTCAGGACCTCACGCCTGCCAGCAGGTGCTGTGCAGTTAGGCCACGTCCCAGTCCCTAATGTCGTGTTTTCTTTACCCATTCATCTGCTGATGGTCACATAGACTGCTCCCGAGGCTTAGCTATTATTAATTGTACTGCTATGCATACGGCTATGTAAGCCACAGTGATAAAAACAACATGGAACTGTGAGAACGCCCCTCCCCCAGAAAAAAACCAGACCTGGGGATCAGTGGAACACAATAGAGGATTCAGAAACAACTCCAGGCACACTCAGCTACCTTATCTTTGACAACGGCGGCATAACATATGCTGGAAGAAAAATAGCCTCTTTAACAATTCGTGCTAGGAAATCCAGCTATCCACATGCAAAAGATTGAATCTAGACCCATATCTCTCACCATGCATCAAAGTAAAATAAAAATGGATCAAAGATCTAAATGTATGGGGAGGTGAGATGTACTTATGTATAAAAGCATGAAATATTCCTCTAAGATATCTGGGTGAGTGGGCCGGGGACACGGCTCAGCAGCTCAGTGTTGCCTGGCAGGCACAAGGTCCTGAGTTCTATTTCCGGTACCCCCCAAAATATCTGAGTGATTTCTGATTAAAATGTCCTCATATCAGTACACAAGGCACACATATCCTCAGCCTTCTAGTTAATTTTCCAAGATAGATATGATCAACTGTGATTTTGGCTCAATTAAAAAGATGGGCCTTATTCTGATTTGTGGGTTTATGAGCTAGTTTGGCAAACTCACTCATTGTTTTTCTCTTCTAAGAGAAAAGCCAGATCATTTCCTTAATATTATAATAGCTATGAATTAAGCGGGGGAGACAATATTCCCAAAGGAAATTTAGTGTGTAGAAGTGAGTCTCCATTAAGCATAGTGGAACATACATAAAATTTACTTTGACTGTGTGAAATCTCAGCCAAGGGGGGATGGTGGAGGGATCTGAGATACAGTAAATCTAGTATAAGATAAAGAGCAGTAGCATTGATTTCTACAAAACATATGTGAAAACAATTACTTTGTTATCAAAGCATGTGTAAACGTGTATGTGATGTATGTACACTATAGATATTATATTAACATGAATAGACTGACAGTTAAAAAATAAGACAAGCTAACAAAAAATTCTAAAATAATTTAAAAATTAGAATTCACAGTAATTAACATTCCTCTCCTTTAGTTTCTAAGGAGTCTCATGAAGCACTGCTATTCCTGTGAAGGAATGAGCC